GGGGGTTCATCTTTACTTATGCTGGGTTCCTTTTTATAAAGTCACCTAACTTTACTTTTTGCACAAATAACCTTCTCAGAGAAGAGCAGTCCATCAAATCATAATGTGGCGACTGGTGGAAGTTGCACCATCTTCCTCCACACCTTTCCTTTTCCGGGTCGACTCCTAGTGAGGGTGGTGGCAAGTTGATCACCCTGTCTTCGACCAACTTATTCATGATCATGACTACCTCCTCCTTGGTGCAAGGAAAAGGAGAAGGGATCGACAAGTTACTTCTCTTACCTTGGGGGTTGTTGCGGTAATAGGGCCCTTGCCTGGGCCCTCCGTTGTTACGGAGCTTTCAATCAACTGCATAAGCCTCGCTCCTTCCATATTGCCCCAAAAATGGCATAGACTGGGCTGGGGTGTTTTTTATTGTGCACGTTGTCCTTTCCGCACATCTCCATAACTAACTAAATGTATAAATCTCCACGTTTTCAATGGCTATTCTGTAGGCAGGTTAAATCCCCTATATGCACTGCTCGATGAAGCTCTTCTCTATGGCGTGCTCGTAGAAGACGAAATGAGTTAACTTCTGAAATCTCATGACATATGCCAGGAGGTCCTCCCCTACGTGCTGCTCCGTGTTGCGCAGGTCAGCCATTGCCAACTTTCTCTCCAAAGTAAACCACTTCGATAAGAATTTCTTGGCTAACTCAACCTATGAGTCGAGATGCTCCCCGCCGTAGGGTTGATGAACCAAGTGTATGCTGGCCCAGGACTTAGAAAACTCACTGACCTTCATATCCCCATCAAGAGCAAAGGATCCCAGGACGTCCTCAAACTTGCTCACATGCGCCTGTGGGCTCCCCTTCTGTTCGTCATACTATGGCCACTACTAGGGAGGAGTGTAACCAACGGGGTAAGACTTATATAAGATCCGGTTGGAGAAGGGTTTTTGCAAAACGACCGAAGCTTGGGCTTGGTTCCGGCTCTCCACCACCAGTCCCTGAACAAACTCTTTTAGTTCGTCCCAACTGAGTGGGACTTCTGCCACTGGGTCCGCCTGGAGGAGGACTCTAGACTGCCCTATGGCGGGCTGGTTGGTCTGTACGGGTACCAGATTAACCCTGGTAGGCTGCTCCGGCACGGTGGGATTAGGGTTGGAAGTGTGATGGCTAGCAGGGATGGATACAGGAGTGGTAGCCAAGGGAAAAGGGGATTGTTTAGTTCGGGCGGGTTGTTGGAGAAGAATTTGTAGGGCGGCCCTTGTCTCATTTTGCATTTGCTCAATTCGATCAAACTGAGCTTCAAATTTATAAATGTTTGATAGGATTTCGATATCGATCTAGTCAGCCGTCTCTATCTCATATTGATTTCCAACCTCTGGGTTGGTGTTCTCCGGAATGTTGTCATGCTCCTTAGGGACAGGTGAGAGATTGATTCTTTGGGTGGCCATCCTTCGTGATCAAGGATGAACCAAAGGTTCTAATGTGAATACTGTGGTTAGGCTACGTTCGAGGGTCTCCTTGAAGGACAAAGGAAGACCGGGTGTAGGAAGCCGGTTCGGAGACTAGGGTAAATGGAAGTGATAATGCAACAGGGTAGAATGATTGGATGAATGAATGAATGAATTTGTTTATGAGGAGGACCCTCATTTATAAGGGGAGATCCTGAGGTCCCAAAAGGAAGGAGCCAAAAGTGTTTGATTCCCATTTGGAAAGAGAATATTAGATTCGTTGTCGATCATTAAGGAGCACTACTAGGGTTTTGCCTCGCATCCTATGAGATCTCCTAAGGACGAACTTTCCTTTCGTCCGAGGATTCTCATAATCCGTGTGTATTACTCCCTTTCATGACCTACTTAGCCAACGTGGCGTTGGTGACATCATTGTTTGGCGGGCACATTCTTACCAAACCTACGTAGTGCCTTATCACGCGTGTAACTTAAAGTTGCACGTGTAGCCGATATTTAACTCCAGTTTACAATGACCCACGGTTCTGTAATGTTCTCATGTTCGTCACAAAATCGCGCACATATGAAATTCATCGTAGAACCACGTGTATCTAAGGTATATTGTATTACCACACGCGTCTAAACTTCATCGCGGGTTTACATTAACTAAAGTTTTTCCTGGCATGTGTCAGGTGCAAGTTTGTTGCTGAGACGTTGTGAATTGTATGTTCATCGCAGACGTTCAATGAGTTAAAAGTTCATCGCAAGTAACCAAAGAGTTATGATATCATCGAAAGCGTCCATGTGGTATCAATTTGGTATCTTTTGTACTTTGATGGTTTGAGCAACCACTATGTACCTATAGTAATTATTAAATTACTGTTAATTAATAAATACATTATATTTAATAAATACTCTAATGATTAATACTTGTTATTAATAAATATTTTTAATTATTAAAAATAATGTAATTATTTAAATGTAATTTTCTAATAATTATTGTTAAATATACAAAATAATTACTATTAATTATAAATAAATACTGCTAAGTAATAAAAACTATTAATTAATAAATACTTTAGTTAACTAAATGTTGTATTTATTATTAATTAATAAATATTGTGTATTGAAAAGACTATTAATTAATAAATACTATACTTTTTAATAATTACTGTTTAAAGTATTTAATTATAACTAAATATTGTCAATGAAGAAATTCTGTACTTATTAAAAATACTGTAAATTAATGTTGATTAATAATTATTACTATTAATTAAAAAATTACAATATGCTGATTTTTGTTAATTATATAAATAATTACTGTTAATTTTGTGATAATTACTGATAATTATAATTAAATAGTGTAAATCAAATATTGTATTCAATTAATAACAGTATTTTTTAGAATAATGTTAATTAATAATAATTATGAAAAATACTTTTAATTATAAAAAATAATTACTGTTAATTATAGTTTCTTTTTTGTATATTGTTTTTGTTTTTTTTTAAATATTGTTATTTAATAAATATATTTTTATTAAATTACCGTTAATTAATAAATACATTATTTTAAATAAATACTGTAAGCCCCCAAACCCATTCTTAAAGAAAAAAACCCTTCCCCGTCTTTGCCGTCAATGAGGGTAAGGGTGGGTATCCACTGGGTAGGGTAGAAATTGCCATCCCTAGTTTAAATGTTGCATTCACTTGTCACTATATCAAAGCATGAATTGCCATCCCTAATTATTAAAAATACTATAATAATTTAAATGTAGTTAAATGTAATTTTTTTAAAATAATTACTGTTAAATATAAACAATAATTATGGTTGATTTTCTGATAATTACTGTTTATTATATATTTTCATAATTTCAGAAACATAGTTACATTGTTTTTGGTTATTTTTTTGAAAATACTGTTACGTAATAAATACACTATTTTTAAATAAATACTGTAATTAAAAAAATACTGTATTTATTGAAAATACTGTTAATTTAGAAATATGTATTTTTTAAAATAATGTTAATTATTAAAAATTAGAAAAATACTGTAATTATGAAAAATATTGCAATTATTAAATTACTTTTAATTAATAAATACATTGTATTTAATTAATACTTGTAATTAATAAATACTGTTAATTATTAAAATAATACATTATTTTAATAAATACCGTAACTATTAATACTTCTAATTAACAAATACTGTTAATTATTAAAAATACTGTAATTATTTAAATGTAATTTTCTGATAATTACTGTTAAATATACAAGATAATTACTGTTAATTATAATTAAATACTGTTAATTAATTATAACTAAATACTGTTAATTAATAAATACTGTAATTAGCTAAATACTGTATTTATTATTAATTAACTAAATACTGTGTTTTTTGAAAATACTATTAATTAATAAAAACTTTAGTAAATACTGTAATTTTTAATAATTACTGTTTAAAGTATTTAGTCATAATTAAATACTGTCAATTAGTAAGTACTGTATTTATTGAAAATACTGTAAATTAATGTTAATTAATAATTATTACTGTTAATTATAAAATTACTATTTTTTATTTTTTTTAATTATATAAATAATTACTGTTAATTATACAAAATAAATAGTATTAATTTTGTGATAATTACTGATAATTATAATTAAATAGTGTAAATTAAATGCTGTATTCAAAACTGTTAACTATTAAAAATACTGTAATTACTTAAATGTCATTAAATGTAGTTTTAAAAAAAATAATTACTGTTAATTACAGTTGATTTTTGTAATTTTGAAAATACTGTTATTTAATAAATACTGTAATTAAAAAATATTGTATTTATTGAAAATACTGTTAATTTAATTAAATACTGTAATTAATACTATTAATTAATAAACACTATTTTTTAAAATAATGTAAATTGTTAAAAAATATGAAAAATACTGTAATTATGAAAAATATTGTAATTATTAAATTACTGTTAATTAATAAATACATGAATACTGTAAATTATTAATACTTGTAATTATTAAATATTATATTTATTAAAATACTGTAATTATTAAAAATACTGTAATTATATAAATATAATTAAATGTAATTTTAAAAATAATTACTGTTAATTACGACAGACCACTCTTTCACTGTGGAGATTGGCTTTCTGAAAATTCTCAATTACTATAATGACTTAAAATCAACTCTTCACGAGTTTGATGATTTCTGAGTCAAAAGGAAGTTAAATGAGTTGCTTGGTTTTGAAGCATAGATTAAGAATTGAGGGGACCCATAATGAATCTTCAAAGTGGCAATTCAATTTTGTTAGGATGTCACTGTAACTCTGCAAGCTCCTTGCACTAGGTTGGTGGCTTAGTTCAAATTTATAAACATTGAGTTTGAGCTTAGTTGCTGTATAATTTTATTTGCACTAGTATAAATGCATGAGAGTGCAAATGAAAAGATTACAAGTTCTGGTTTAATTTTGTTTTGAGTTTTATTTTATTCTCTTTGAGGTCTTATTTTAAAACAAAATATGATAGCATTTGAAATAAAAAATAATTTGCATTGTCCTAATTTGACTATTGTTTTCCTTTTGCAAGTAATATAATCATTTCAGAGGAACAAATTTCCTCTCTTATTATAAGAAAATATTATGGAAACACAACATGGAGTTACAATCTAAAGACAATTAAGAACAATAGTAACACAATATTGGATGGCCCTTCAATTTTACTCTCCCTGTTGGCTTTCTTTTTCAAACCGCCTGTTCTACCTTCTCCCCATTTGAATTCGCCTCTAACAGGTCATGAGGCCTTGATGTAGGGCTACAAATTTAAGCCATTACAGTAACTTAATTTCCTGCTGGGAGGCTGCGGCAAGTTTGGCTCTAAGATCTTTTCTCAAAATCTTTCCGGATGGAGACTTGGGAATTGCAGGGACGAAGTATACTTTGTGAAGTTTCTTGTAGAATACCACCTGTTGATAGAGAGAGAGAAGAACACACTTCATTAGCCATCAGGATAAATGGTGGAATTCACTTTTTCTACCATACTGTCGTAGTGCAGGGCTAAAACAGAAAACTAAACCATGGTCTTAGAAGTACTTGAGTGGCCTCACCAAGAAGTCATTTCATCTAACTCAAGGTGGATTTTGATTTAGGTCTCGGTTGCTTTGCAGGAATAGGGGTCTAGAGGTGGCTATTCCGATTCCAACTGTTTGATTTGGCATAATCGAAATTCCAATACCATTCCTGCTGGAATGGGAATGGCCATTCTATGCCTTTTCATTGGGAATTGATGATGCGCAATCCGGCCGGTCTTACCTGTCAACGACCTTGCCTTTGAATTGAGTAACTGGGGACCTGAAACGGGGGAGATGAAGAAGCTCTGGGGAGAACCCGGTGTAGAGGCTCCGAAGCTCAAGTTAGAATCCTTCAAAGGCAAGATAAACCAGATAGCGCAAAGTTTGCATACCTTGTTCTTGGGGGGTAGGGAGCCTTTTATAACCACCTCGTGCACTCACTTCCAGGCTTCTGTCAGATCGGRCCTGACTATCTCTGAGCTCTTGCCAGTTTGGATGTCATCCCTTCTGGCCGAGCAGAACCGCCACTACTCCTAATTGTCGGAGCCGTTTCTGCGGCTGGTGACAACGGTGGCAGGTGAAGGCGGCAGGAGGCCGTTTGAAGTGCGGCTGTCAAGCGTCAGATCCCAAATCAGTTAGGTGCGCCTCCCTTGGAAACGGACATTCTTGGTGTCAGGTATGGTACGCTTGGTCAGTCTGGCGTTTCGGAGGCGAAGTGCCAGAGTAACGGGGGGGATAAAGTCTTGAGTTCGGTTTGGAGAGTGTTCCGAGCTGCCATGGGCCAGCTCGGGTTACGGCCTTGTGAGGTTTAGGGCCGAGAGAGTTCAGGCTCCTTGTAGGGACCACGGGTCTTTAGTAGTGAGCTCGGGCTCCTAGCAGGGAGCTCGGGTTCTTAGTAGGGAGCTCGGGCTCCTAGTAGGGAGCTCGTGCTCCTGGACTATTGGTTTTCTTTTGGTGCTTGTGTTTTGGGCGCTCTATTGCCCCGAGCTGTTTGCTTTTGCCACGTGTCGAGTGATGGCGAGGTCGGGCCAAATTTCCCTTCATCAATTGCCCCCCACTCCCTGCGCTAAGGGTCTTGGCGCGGGGAGTTCCTAAGGCGGGAGGATTTTGGCCCGTAATTTGAATTTTATTCAACTGGTGGCGCGCACTTTGGTTTGATTTTTCAAAAAGGTGCGCGTTTGGGAGATGTAACGGTAGCCGTTTTCTCAAATTTTGGGAATCGTGCTGCAACCGCTTTTACTGTGGAGAGACGTGCGTTGACACCCTGTCAGTTTCGAAAAGATGCACGTCGCTGCCCCGTCAGTTTCGACTAGATGTGCGCTGGCGCTGTCCGTTTTAGAAAGGCGTGCGCTGGTCACGTCTCGGCTTTGGAGGACGTGCGGTCAGCGCGATTGTGGGCCGCTGGATCGGCTTCAATCTGGATCGTCGTTTTCCGGTTGCTATGGATATAAATAGCGGGGGGGGACCCCAGTCGCTGATACTGTACCTCTCGATCTCGCGTCAAAGTTTCAGTTCGCGTCCAGGCTCTTCAGCTCGCGTCCCAGGTTCCTCTTGTTCGAGCTTTCGTGGTCTACTCCAGTCTTCTTCCCGGGTGAGTTCTTTTCCTGGAACCCGTCTTCTACCCCCTGATGTCTAGCTCG